TTGTTTATTTATTTGTGAATTCTCTGAGCATTACACAGCCTTCAGGCAAACTTTCTGAGATTTTACTTCTGGGACGACTGTCCACTGTCAAATATTTTCCACTTGTGACTAGTCGTTCTGTCTGTCAAATGATAGACTCAAAACTATTTGGAAACAACCTTGTAACTCTTCCCAGATTGTTGGGCAGCAACAATTGTTGCTCTAAGATAATTGCCAATGCCTTTTCTCCTTGGCATTGTGTTGCACCTCACACTGCATGCTTCATAGGAGCAAACTGAAAAAATATTTGCTTTGATCTGACCTGTTAATGTGTATCTGTTCCTCCTTCCTCTTCCTCTCAAACCCAGCCGGTTGAAGCAGATGACCGCTTGTCCTGAGCCTGGTTCTGCTAAAGGTTTCTTCCTCATGAGGGCATTTTTCCTTCCCACTGTTGCCTTTGTGCTTGCTCAAGATGAGAGTTTCTGTTGTGGAGTTAAATTCAAAGCAGTCTGCTCCTAAGATAAATAATGTTAAATTATTTTATATATATATGAATGTTTCTGTTCAGTGCTCTGAGATGACTTCTGTTGTGATTTGGCACTAAATAAATAAAGTGAATTGAATTGTTAGAGGAGATAGCATTTTCAGATTATCAGTTAAGCATGTGCATCTGATTAGCACCTCCTGGCTAATGCTATCCTAACGACAAAGGTGACAATATTTACATGAATGCACCTGCAAGCACCTTACAGGTGTTGGATGCTGTCTATCACGTTGCACTAAGATTCATAACTGGCCGTAACTAACTTACCCATCACTGCACCCTGTATTCACTGGTTAATAATAATAATATTAATAATGTGATTGTCATCATTGTATATTCCCATACAAAGATGAAATTGGCTCTCTGCTTAAAACCCATCCACCACCAGGTGGAGCAGTGGGCAGCTATGAAAGCACCCATGGAGCAAATGAGGATGAGGTGTCCCATTCAGAGACACCACGATGTGCGCAATGACTGGGGATCGAACCCGGGACCTTTGGGTCCCGTGTCGGCTGCCCTGCCCCTACACCATCTCGGCCCCCCATTAGCTTTACGCTGACTCTCTCACTGGTACATTTTCATCCTTATATCACTTCTTGTTCTGTTGGCTTCATACATCTCCTCCTACATGTCACTATGTGAGTGCAGCTACAGCATGCGCTCTCACGACATAATTACTTGGAGGGAACCCTCAGTGCTGAGGAGTGTACCGAACTTGGCAAAAGGGCCTTCTCCTACTCCGCTCTTGTTTCCTGGAATATCTTGAAAAAAGATGTGAAGTTCTTGACCTTGACCTCTCCAAGTGACTTCAAACATCTGCTAAGTTCATGACAAAAACCAACACAGACTTGTTCCTGTTTTTAGTATTTTACATCACTTTATAATGTCGCTGTTTTTATGTTTTTATTTAATATCATATATTTTTCTTCTTTCTTCTTTTTTCATTTTATATGTTTTTATTTGGCTGTCTGTTGTTGTTTGTGCCTCATCTGTGTTCTGAGTCCTCGTGGCTCAATGAGAATAAACTGTATATAGTAAATAAAGGTTGAATTAATGCGTTCAATTTAGAAAGCAGCAAGGTTGTGCTTAGTTTTTCACTCACAGCTTTTCATTTGAGCTTTATTTTTGTTTATTAAATAATCTGTTGTGAATCTACTGTTTCTGTATGCTTGAGGTTAAAGTTTTCATGTAAATATGTAAATAAATATGTAAATGTAAACATATGTAAAACCTGATAAAGAACAAAAAAGTACTTTTTGTTCACTGGCTATGTTTTATTTCAGACTTTTTTAATTTCTTTGCTGTTCTTGTTTAACAAGCAGATGTGCATGTATTATGTATGCTCTTTGTTAGGCCAGTGAAATGACAAATTACTTTGTAGACTATCAGAAAAAGAAGAAAAAATGTTGCAACAGTTTACATTACTAAGTTGTCGCCACATACAAGAAAAGACAACTACAAGTTTAGTGTTACTAAAACGGAGATGTTCTTTGTACTGTACATGTTTGCAAAGTATTACACTATTAGGTTCAAAGCTATCCTTTTTTGCTCGTTTGTTCTTTCACTTAAGTGAAAATGTCTAAATTTTGTTTTGTAAGCTCAATACTATGCACAAGTGAGGTATATTAGGTTGAAACACAACAAGATAGAAACTGAATATTTTACAATGAACAACCAAAGTAGTTTGACTTGTCAATATACAAGCTAATCAATGAAGTTACAAAAAAAACTAAATCAATAGAGATTGGTCTGAGACACACAAACACAAAACGTCAGAGGGTGTTGAAGCAGATGTCACTACAATCATTATGGTGGTGGAGATCATCAGTCATTCAGGTCAGGGCAATCCTAAGTGTTTGAATAGAAAGCAACTAGACTTCTTTTTGTTGCTCCTTGATCGCCTCTCTTCTGAAAGGTGTCCTCAGTTCTAATTATAGATAGGTGGCACATGACCTTTATGTCTGAAACTTCTGATCTATATTCAAAATTAAAGAGACCTTTTGGTTAAAAATCTTCCAGTTGTGTTTTATTCAACTGTTTGGGATGTCATTACAACCTTAGCCTGTAAACGTGACATTTTAATTGCCCTGGTAGATCTATGGGTCACGTATGTCTTTGTTATGGTATTTAAAAACCATAGTGTTAGTTAGATTTGTGGACAATGTGTAATTAAAAAAATACAGGGGGAGTTTGATGGCTAGATGGAGAGGTCAGCATTTAGATATGAAGAGCTGAAGCAATGATAACATTCAGTTGAGTTTAAATGGCTCTGGGTCATAAATGGGCTAAAAGGTTAATAAGTGAGGAGCCATTTTTAGTTCTAGTCACATTTGGTAAACCCAGTCTAAGCTAGACTAAACTAAAGAGACTGACAAGGACATAAAATTGGTTTCTAAACTAGGGCATTAACAGAGTACTCGAGTAATCTACACATCGATTGCTAGGACATCTATCGAGATTAAAAATGTAACGTCGGATATCCGTAGTGACGTCATATTATGTGACCACCGTATGACCGTAGGGGGCGGTGTTGCACTGTTGCAGGTCACAGAGTCTGGTGTAACACCGGGTCCAATCCACCGAACCAGAACCAGTTTCGGTTTAAGTTTCGTTTTTGATGTGCTGCATGTTTCTTCACGTTTGCAGTTTAATAATAGTAACTAATGGTTTAGTTTTTCCTGTGACTTATTTGCAGTATGATAAATGGTAGGAGCAGAATATACGCTCCCAATGTTTTGTTGGTCATTTTTTTGTAAATAATTACCTTTTTTTGTGGTTTTATTTATTTATTTATTTTTGTATCTTGAGATCTATGACGTCATCAAATACTCGAGTTCTACTCGGGTTTTATTATGTTAATGTCGAGTTTAAAAATTATATACTCGTTCAACCCCTATTCTAAACAAAAATGATGCCTTGTCCATTCTCTTATTACAAATCTGGACTTGGAAACAAAATAGCTAATTTATTGCAAAACAGAGTGGACGAAATGAATGCTGAACATTGTGACAAAGGTTTTCAGTTTCTTGAAGATTACCTAAGGTTCATTGCAAACTTGTAAATTGCACACCTTGGCTGACTTAAGAAGAGACAATGTTTCTTTTTTTATAAGTACTCAATGTTTAACCTACGACTTAGGAACATGCAAACTATCTAAAAATGGTTTTGTTACAAGTTTCTATCTCAAAAAGCATCCCCAATCAACATTAATCCAAGAAACCTCTCTTTAACTACAGCCTAACAAATCTCTCTAATTCAACTTTAATTGAAGAAATCCTAATACTCAAAACTACCTGATCACCGAGGCTTAAAAGTACACCTAATAAGGTGTTGGTGAAGTCCAACAAGCTTCTGCACATCTGAGAGGTTTTGACTGTAACTTAGGAGCACATTTTAAAAAAGCTACATTACATTTCTAAATGTCAATAAAAAAGGTCTATTGTATTTACTCTGAATGTGAGACACAACATGTCAAGGAACACACTACAATGTGTTAATAATAAAACTGAATAAAGAGCCACAATGCCTCTTTGACTGCAATTTCTGTTTTATTTTGATTTTTTTTTCTTTTTCTATTCAACCATAAAACTTTCAGCACTAACACATATAGATTTTTGATGGGTTAAATGGACTGAAAAGTTGTAGGGCTTGCAATATTGGCTTTCTTCAGTTCAGTATAACTATTTCTAGGCCCAAACTGATGAACAATCTCTTTCACTTACAACTATGAAAAACTGAAGCCCAATAAAACAATCTCAGAACTATTAAATGTTTTTAAAAAAAGGATACAACAAAAGGAAAAGACAGTCTTATGAAATTGCCACATTCAAAAATGTACTATTTTTGCTGAGAACAGTGTGAAGAAAACCACTCAGTCAAGTCAAGGTCAGCCTGAGTGGTGATCAATACTTCAATCTCAATAAAATAGCTCAATTGCTGAAAATTGATGAGAAAAGGAAGAAAACACAAAAAAAAGAAAGATAGAAGAAGAAAAATAAATGCCAACCTTGTCATAACATTAGCAGGTCAGCAATACATTAGTCTAGAAAATGGTGGCAGGTAAAGTGCTACACTATAGACCGATTAAGTCAATAGCTGTCATAGTTCACAGCCTCAAATCAATAACAAACATGTTCTCAACCTTCAAACCACAGCAAATAAATAAAGGGACAGACACAAACTAACTAGATAGATATCACATCAAACACAGAGAGATAAATGGACTAACTAAAGAAACTGGGCATGGTGAAGAACAATAAAAAAAAACTTCAAACAAAAAAGGTTTTATTTTGTCATCAAAAATTAATGTTTCAGTTTAAGCTATAAACAGCCACTACTTGAGGCAAATATATTTGCATCCTTTCACAGCATCGGCCTTACCATTGCATGGCTCAGACTTTCTGCTTTTGTAAAGAAGTGTCGTTACTTTTGTATTTGTAACAATGTCGCCTCTGCGTGGGAGCCAACAAACACTTACTTGTAAACTGTGCCTCCGTTTCCATGACCAAGTTGCTCCCGATAGTGGATATCTTGGGCATTTATCTGCATGGCAACAAACACATGTATACAGTTATGCTAGCTGGATGTTATAACATGAGAAGCCATGGATCCAGGGGATCGTATGGATAACTGAACAAGAAAGAACATGCACCCGTGAAAGAGAAGGGTGCTTCATTGTTATTGGAAGCTATAAACAATCCAGACGTCAGGTTACCCCAAGTTCAGTGACATGAGAAGAAAAAAAAATAGAGACAGAAAGAGGAGATCAATACAACACTTGCTATCCAATTTATAAAGGGATGTTGTGTTTGGGTGAGTGAGGCAGTGACTTATTGGAAAGCTTTATTTGTTTATTTTTTCCCATAATTCAACCCCATTTTGACAGAAAAAAAAACAATCATGTATTGAAAAATGCAAACAGATTTAGAGTTTATTAAATATTATTTGACAAAATAACATTACCCAGTAGTCGAAGCTTAGTTTATGTGACAATGTCTCAAACTGTTTCCCCTAGTAGTATCCAAAGGAGGTGTATTGCACCCCCAACAGAACTATTCCACACACACACCCCACACACCCCCATGAAGATCTAGGCATCCAAGACATTTCCAAACCTCCACAGGTATGTCATCAAGATCTAGACAAGTATTACATAAATAAATAACCATCTGTACATGTTCTCACTTGACCAATTTACTGCAGTGGGTGAAACGCCAAAGCTGATACATCATCACCCACCAAAATCCCCATCCCTTCCCCCCGTGACGTGTCCTAGACCTTCCCATGACTTTTGTTTCTAAATTTTAACATTGTATTATTATTGCACCAATGTAAACACCTAAAGTGCAATACATATTTTTATTTAACTTGCATTCGTCGTTGTATACGTCCGTATGCTCTTTGTGGACTTCACATCCGCCTTCAACACCATGATCCCCCAAACCCTGATGGACAAACTATCCACACTAGGACTAAGCCCCTCCATCTGCAACTGGGTACTAGACTTTTTAACAAACAGACCACAGTTAGTGAGGATCCACAACCTCTCCTCCTCCACCATAACCCTCAGCACTGGCTCTCCTCAGAGATGTGTGTTGAGCCCCCTCCTGTTTACTCTGCTCACATATGATTGTGCAGCTACCCATCCAGGCTGTCACATTGTAAAGTTTGCAGATGATACAGCGGTGGTGGGATGCATCACAAACAATGATGAGTCCAGCTACAGGCAGGAGGTGGAACACCTGGAGAGCTGGTGCAGAGAGAATAACCTTCACATCAATGTGAAGAAGACAAAGGAGATGATTGTGGACTTCAGAAGGAACAAAAACACCTACACCCCCCTGAACATAAGAGGATCTGCGGTGGAAGTGGTCTCCAGCTACAAGTACTTGGGTGTACACATGAATGACAACCTCAGCTGGAGCAACAACACCACCAGCCTGATCAAGAAAGCTCATCAGAGACTCTACTTCCTCAGACGGCTGAGGCGAGCTGGTCTGGGAAGCTCAGTCCTCACCTCCTTCTACAGGTGTGCAGTGGAGAGCATCCTGTGCTCCAGCATCAATGTGTGGCATGGAGGCTGCACAGCTGCAGAAAGAAAAGCTTTGCAGAGTGGTGAAGGCTGCACAGAAGACTGTTGGAATCAGTCTCCCCACCATCACAGACATCTACACCTCCAGATGCAGGAAGAGGGCCACCTGCATCATGAAGGACCCCACCCACCCAGCACACACACTTTTTGCCCCACTCCCCTCAGGAAGGAGGTTAAGGAGCATTAAGTGTAGAACCACTAGACTGAGGAACAGCTTCTACCCTGAGGCTGTTAGACTCATGAATCTCTAACTAGAATAATCACTGTGAAAAACCATATCATGTTGCTGCTGATCTGTTTCATGTTGCTGCTGATCTGTTTCATGTTGCTGCTGATCTGTTTCAATGATGATGTGTTCATGCGTGCACATCTGCTCACAGACTCATGTTCATGTTTGTGGTGATGTTCAATGTTTTATGTTATGAGTGCTTAGTGTATATTTAGTTGATGTTTTTCTTAGTTCATATCTTAGATGTTATTACTGTTTTTCTTATACATTTTATTGTTGGATGTAACTGGGACCCCGTGTACATAATTTCGCTCCACCACATGTACCACATGAGGTGCGAATGACAATAAAGAAACTCTGACTCTGACTCTGACTGACTCTGATTCATTTGATTTGTTGAAATTTAATTTCTCTTTGTCGTTAAAGGGTGTTTCTTTTAATTTGATTTTATTTTTGTCAAAAAAAGCAAATTTATATTTTAAGTCTCTTTTATTTTTGCTACTTTTTCCTTTTGGTCGCCATTTTATTTGAATTAGTAAAAATAATAATAATAATAATCTGTATGCCTCTTTTATGATTGTCTGTTGTTGTTATCCACTGTTGTCATCGTTCTTTGTTAAAAGAAATCAGGTCTCTTTTAAATGAGTCCCCGAGGCTCAATGGGATTAACCTGTATAAATAAAGGTTGAATGAATATTGACCTTGACTGATTTAGAGGAGCAACTAGAAAGTTCCTGGAGAAACTTTGACGGGGACTGCCATGTTCCGGCCATTTTAAATTTTTTATTTGACAGCATCTTTAGATTTGAATTCAGAATTTGTTTTGCATCGTTGTCAGGTACCACCACACTAAATGTCAGCTCAATAGCTTTTAAAATAGCTAAGTTATCATATTTTTTCCCTTTTAGCAAAGGTGGCCATCTTGGATATTTGATTTGCATTAGGTGGTTGCCTTTCTAGGCAGTCCACAATAAAAGGACAAAACATCCAAAGAGTTGAATACTTTTATTGGCACTATTCACTCTTTCCTAAAACTTTAAATTTGATTAATTTGAGAGGTTGGCACTTAGAGTATAAGAGCTAGATAATAAGAATAAATAGATGAAGAGATGGAGGATAACAGATAACTTTTAGTTCAGTGTTACAAAAGAAACAAGAAGCTGTTGGCTTACTTATGTTCCTAAAGGGTTGGCTATGGTTTGTGAGTGCGTGCATGTGTGTGACTGCAGAAAGAACGCTTTCATGCTTTGAATCTACAGAATAAACCAGCTGCCCTCAGTATGATACAGTGAGGGTAAAAATACACACTCGGTATTACATTTACATTTTTTCACAAAAAAACACTCACCTGCCCATTTGTCAAGATTCTCTTAAACTCAGCAGAAGATGTTTTTAAGCTAGAGGGGGGAAAAAGTACAGTTATGCTAAACTGAGGAAAGCATACCAGACATTTCTTCCAACATCTGCTGCTTAAATAGGGCAGCCATAAAGAACTAACCTGTTGTTGGCCATTGAGTCTGGAACAACTTGAGCACAGTCATTGGCTGGGTTAGGTCTTGTGTTAACCTGAAGGTGAGCAAACATAAATGTGAAAAGACAAACACACACTTAGTGGTCAAGGCCAAAAGCCACGAAGACAGACGCATGTCTGTCTGCATGTGTCTTGCCTCCTTAATAAAAAAAAAAAAAACATCTCAGTAAAACTTGGAGCAGGGGCGTCCAAAGGTTTTCATAGGTGGGCCAGAACTGTTTAGATGAAAGGACTCATGGGCCAGAAAACATTTAATTTAAGAAAAGAAAAAAGTTTAAAAGGCATTGTTTTCCAACTCATTTTTAAACTCTCAACAACTTGAACAATATTTTGGAGAAAAGCTAAAAGTTTAGTTTAAATTATTGTACAAACCGGATTCCAAAAGAGTTGGGACACTAAACAAATTGTGAATAAAAACTGAATGCAATGATGTGGAGATGGCAAATGTCAATATTTTATTCGTAATATAACATAGATGACAGATCAAAAGTTTAATCTGAGTAAATGTAACATTTTAAAGGAAAAATATGTTGATTCAAAATTTCACAGTGTCAACAAATCCCAAAAAA